AAAAATTGTTTGGGTAAAAAAAAAAAAAAGAAAATCCTGATACCCACATCTAATTAGGAAGTCACAATAAACTTCACTCAGAAATATCTCACATGAAAATCTCACACATGCAATTTCTAAAGAGTATTTTGGGAGACATGCACAATGTCCTGAAACTATTACAATCTGCAAAAAATAGAAAGAATAACTTGTTTTTTTTTTAAATTAAATGAAAGGAAATGTTTTGGCTGATGTTAGGGAAATGAAAGAAGTATTTTGTCATTGCGACTCAGGTCTTTTTAGAAGTCAACATTACCTTTTTCTAGTGGAAGAAATAATGGGGGTTACATTTACCAAGAACTTAACTGTCCACTCTTATTACCATAAACCTAGTGTATCCATTTGAAAGGATATTCCTAAGAAAGTCAAATTTACAAAGTTTAAACAAGTCTTAGTGATTTTTACTACACAGATGAAAATTTTAGTAGTTTAGTCAGGACAGAAATTAAATTCAGGGGTATAGAGTTAAGATAATTATATGTGATTCTAAAAATTTATAAAGGTATAAAAACAGCCTGTTATTTCTAGTTCTATGGCTGAAGAAAGTTCCCCTTTCTCCGCTTCTTCAAATCTCACCACCAACAAAAACCAACTAATAGATAAAAGAAAACATTCCATCATAAGGGAAACAAGAAAACTGTCATGGCTCAAAGAAGACATTTGTGACATCACTTAAATACTGTTAAATGATAATCAAAATGAGAGATCAGGGACAATGTACAGATTTTACCATAGTTAAGATGGCATACAAAATTATGATGATTACGAGATCCAGAGTTGTCTAGAAAGTTGGGAAAAAAATCCCTGCAGAGATCCAGTTTGAGATCTCAAAAAGATGGATAAAGACCCAAAAAGAAAAAAAGAAAAAGAAAAAAAAAAAAAAAGAAGTGTATACGAAAAGGTCAAAAACAAAAGAGAGGCAGTAGATTCCTTTAGATTCCTCTCAATCTTCTAGCCACTACGTGCCAAGTTTGACCCCACATATTTCCATTAACAGCAATTCAATTCAAAGATAAGTAATATCATCCAAGAAGTTCACATACCATAGCATCACACGATCCCAATATAACATAGAATTTATTTAGGAAAATTTTATAAGCAGAGAAATAGTGGGGTGAGTATAGTCCTCCATACTTTCATTTTTCTGTAATATAGGACAAAAATGCTCCATATGCATCAAAGCCAAACTTCTAGGATACAGGTCTGGCTAGGTCAGCCTGTGGGATATGCAACTGAGAACTCCAAGAGTGAGCCCAATACCATGTTGCCTATTTACAGGTAAGCCTAACCTGAGGAATTGGGAACACCTGGTTTCTCTAAACCAGGGAAACGTTCTCTGAAGGGGACCAGGTAGTATACATTTTATATAGAAATATGGGCCATATATTCTCTGTGTAGCTACTCTACTCTGCTACAGCAATACAAAAGCAGCCATGGATAGTATATAAAAAAAAAAAAATGAGCACGGCTGTGTTACAATAAACTTTACTTATGGACACTGAAATTTGAATTGCATTTAACTTTCATGTTTCATCAATTATTCTTCTCTGGATTTTTCCATCCATATAAAAATGCAAAACAATTCTTAGCTCACATGCCATTCAAAAACAGGAAGCAGGCTGGATGTGGCCCTCAGGTTGTAGCACTTACTGATCCCTACACAAAGCAACAAGAAATATATCAAATGATGTGTAGGCCCTGGAACAATGCTAGGGAATACGAATACCAAAGTTTAGAATATGCAAACCAAGAGCTCTGGAAACAATCTTACATACCAGGAATACTGACATTAGCTAAATAAATACCTTGGCTCTCAGCAGAACAGTTCAGTCCACTGAACCAGCTCTCAGCTAAGCTACCCAAAGGGGGAAGGCCACGGGGGCCATGTAGTTGTGTCTTTCATTAAGTAACCACAAAAGCTCTAACAGAAAAGCCACACATTAAAGCATGCTTTTTATAGAAGATTGGAAGCATTAGAAAAGGCCAAGTGAAGAAAAGACATTATAAAAAGAATTACCCAAAGAAACACAGGTAATGTCAGAATCAGAAATGATAGGTAGTATAATCACTTTAAATTTTTAAAATGGCACAAGATTTACCAATGTTCAAATAAGGGAATACAAAAGACAGAAAGGGTTGGAAATTCCTAGTTCTTAGGGGAAACAAATGGAAATGAACAATAAAAATATGATGGTTCTGAAAGTCATGTTAAGACCATAATATAAAAATGAACATAACTGAAAACAAAGTCAAAAGTGCAGTGGATAGGCCGAAGTGAATCACATAAATACAACATCAGAAAACACAACATGAATATAACTATGGAGAAACATGGATACAACAGATGATACTAAAGTACAGATGCTCCCTGACTTCACAATGGTTTGACTTATAATTTTTCGAATTTACGATGGTGTGAAAGTGATATGCATTCAGTAGAAACTGTGCTTCAAATTTTGAGTTTTGATTGTTTCCCAGGCTAGCAATAACTGGTATGATATTCTCTTATGATGCGGGGCAGAGGGAGAGAGCCACAGCTTCCGGCCAGCCATGTGATCAAGAAGGTAAACAACAAATACCCTTATAGAGCCAACAAATACCCCATAGAGCCATTCTGTTTTTCTACCTTCAGCACAGTCTTTAACAAATTACGTGTGATATTCGAACTTTAATACAAAATAAGTTTATGTTAAATAATTCTGCTCCACTGTGGTCTATCCTAAGTGTTCTGAGCAAGTTTAAGGTAGAGTAGGCTAAGCTATGATGTTTGGTAGTTGTATTAAATGCATTTCCAATTTAACAGTATGTTCAACTCACAATGCGTTTATCAGTATGTAATCCTATCATAAGTCAAGGAAAATCTGTATATATAATTTGTGTTCCTGAGAACAGCAAACAGCACAAAAGTCAAGTAAGTACACAGTTAAACTGTACTGAAATATGGCAGGCTTAAATCTGAGTCCCACAGTGTTCCCAGGAAAAATGGATACAGAGGGATTGATATAAATGTATGAATTCTGGTAAATTCCTCAGTCTTTAAGGATAAAGAAGACGGGTGCCTAGGTGGCTTAGTCGATTAAATGTCTGACTTTGGCTCAAGGTTCATGAGTTCTAGCCCCACATTGGGCTCTCTGCTGACAGCTCAGAGCCTGGAGCTGGCTTCAGATTCTGTGTCTCCCTCCCTCTCTGCCTTACTCTCTCTCTCTCTCTCTCTCTCTCTTAAAAATAAATAAACATTAAAAAAAATTTTTAATCCCATAAAAATAAAGGAAGAATCACATAGGTACACATGAATGAATGAAAGAGTAAGTATCATTCAAAGGGGATGTCAGGTAGTCTTTAGAGGTCTCCAAAGAAATATTCAGTTCCAGAAAAAGTATACAAATATCATTTCTAAGAAACATTGTTTTCCCAAATTTATATGCAGGAAGTTATCCTTTATGTTTAAAATTAAAGACAGAGCTTCTCACTCTTGCATAGTAAAATTTAGCCAAACAAGAAATAACACAAAATAAAGAGCTGAGGAGAATAGAAACTAGAGAAAAAGAATGGTTAGTGAGAGTTGAATACATTTATGCCAACACTAAAGATTAAAAAACTAATTTTAATATATATAATCTAATGTGAATGTTATACTTGTTAGAAATGTTAAAATGATAATATAATTAAAAGTGGAAAAAAGAGAAGCTAAAAGGGCAAATGTGGGAGGAAGTATGAGTGATATTTTCCTCATATTTCTTAGCAGGGAGTCAAATATTTTTCAATCTTGAAATATATTGTTAAAAATAACTCTTTTTAGACATGCAAGTATCAAAATATTACTTATCAAGTACAATTTCTCAGTATTACTGAGTGTGTTCCATGAAAGGGAGGAAGTAAATAAGGAAAAAAAGAGATTACAAGACCACGAAACAAGAGATGTGGAATGGATAGCTGTCAGATGGGACCATTCCATCCTTCGAACTCCCATCTTCCTAGAGGCACAGCTGAGAACACTCGCTTCTGTAGCCAGGATCCAGCAGGCAGTAGCTTTCACAGGAAGCTTCACTTCCAAGGCAAGAAATGTAACAAACCCAGCTTTGTTTAATTTTGTTGCTGTCGTTTGTTTGTGGGGTTTGTTTTAGTTTTCTGCTGGAATGGGTGGTCAAATACGTTGAGATTGTCGTAATACTTGTCAAATAACATTTCCAACATCTCAGATAAGACTGACAGAAGTGGTGGCAGTGACGTCTTAAGATCTTTGATATGGTTCTGCATATTACACGTTGAATGTGAGTCACAAACGTAGTCCTCCGGCTCTCCCACTTGCTGTGTAAGCTACACAATATTTTTTACTAAACTGGACATTTTCACTAAAAATAAGAGACCCTAGGGGCACCTAGGTGGCTCAGTCAGTTAAGCGACAGACTCTCGATCTCCACTCATGTCATGATCTCGCGGTTCGTGGGTTCAGGCCCCACATCGGGCACTGCATTGACAGTGTGGAGCCTGCTTGGGATTCCCAGGCTCCCTCTCTCTTTGCCCCTCACACGTTTACGCTTTCTCTCTCTCTCTCTCTCTCTCTCAAAAAATAAATTTAAAAAAACTAAAATTTTTTTAAATAAAAGTAATGGACCTAAATTTTGTTATTCTCAACTTAAAAGCTATCTATTTCTTCAGTTAAAGTCAAATAATATTAAGCTTAATTTTAAGTGATGATGCTATGACTCTGTCTTAAACTATTCCTATATTTTATACAGCTTGTGTGTGAACAAAGAGAGATGAAGTTGATGGTCACCAAGACTAATTGTTGAGTGATGGCTAGTGAGATCTGCAGTAATATTTGTTTTCTTGTCTGGACTTTGCATTTTGCTTCACTTTTTTTTCTTTTTCTTTTTCTTTTTTTTTTTTTAAACAGTGATTGGTGAAATTTTTTTAATGTTTACTTATTTTTGAGAGAGAGAGACAGAGTGTGAGCTGGGGAGGGGCAGAGAGAGAGGGAGACATAGAATCTGAAGCAGGCTCCAGGCTCTGAGCTGTCAGCAGAGAGCCCGACATGGGGCTCGAACCCATGAACCGTGAGATCATGACCTGAGCCGAAGTTGGACGCTTAACCAACTGAGCCACCCGGGCGCCCCCACTTTTTTTTCCTTTTAAATATATGAGTGGGTATTTTTTTTAAAGGCCATAAAATATTATACTAAAAACTGGTATAATAAGTGGCTTCATTCAAAATACTGCATATTTAAGGAAAATTTTCCCTGTGTAGGCAACTGATATGTAAGCGTACATTGGTGTGTTTATGAATGTGTTTGTGTGCATGTATTATTTAAGGATCGTTGGGAACTAGTCCAGAATTTAAATTCTTTTTCTATTCTTTATTAGGTATTCATACCTCATTTGTTACCTGAAAATAATTGAGAAATGTAGAGGCCAGAATTTCATAAAACTATTACTAATTACGACAAAAATTAATACCTCTGTATACATACGTATTTGTATAGGACATAGATGGCATTTCAGAAATAAAATAAGACAATTTAACATTCATTGTTAGAATGTGCCAAAGCCTTCCTCTTCACACGAAAAATGAGAAATAAGAGAAAATACATACACTTATTTTCTTTTCAGATCCACAAAGTCATGAATATCTACAGAAGCTGATCTCCTGTAGTAATATGCAATGCTAAGTGCTCCATAGCCGGGAACAACCTGAAAGAGATTGCACTCTACATAATTATGCAAATAGATTTTTTAAGAAAAAGAAAAAAGCAGAAATGACAATATGCTAATATGGCAGCAGCATTGAATACGATGAGGATTATTAAAATACGAAGTGTTTGTTCATGCCCATAGCCTTTTTTCACTTAATATTTTTTCCTGGCACACATATCTCCAAAGGAAATTTTCAAGAAAGAAAGCCCTCAGATCATAATTACCATAATTATACTTTTTCATCTTAAAATCCTCTCCACACCCCTAGAATAAATATTATATGTGGTATATAGTATCATAATTAAAGTAAATGTTCAAAGAAATGATGCTTTCATTGCTGTTTGCTACATATTCTATCTAATGAGCCAGAACTACATGGTGTATATGTGTGGTATGCGTCTATTTGTTATTATTATTAGCATGGTGGCTTTGACTAATCTTAATTAAAAATCTGCATAAAATGTTTCTATCCCATTGTATGGAATACACCAGAAATATACAACAAAAATTAATATTGGAAGCGGTGAATAATTTAGACTACTTGACAGAGAAATGTTTTAAAAGAAAGCTTTCAAATGGAGATAAGCCTTGTAAAAGAACATCAGAGATTAGCAGTAGCAGGCAAGCTCTTTGCTCAGCCGTGTGAATGTATTGTTTAATTATGGATCAAGTTTAGTCTTTAGCTCCTTGACCACTGTGGATTATTCCTTCCATTTTCTTCTATGGGATCATGCTGAGCCGGGTGATACATAGATAAAAACCTGATGTTATTCACTACACTATATTCTCTAAAGAACATCAGAAACGGGCGAGAGGTAGGGGAAGGGGGTGCAGAGAGGCCTTTTAAAAGGCTTTGATTTTGAGTAAAAAGAGAAATTCAATTCTTATTATTCTAAAACAAAATAAAACTCACTCAGAGCAAAAGGTTTACGAACCAAAGATAACATTCTTTTGTGGGGTTAAGTCTATTAAAAAAAAAGAAAGTGATCAAAATACACAAATGAAATTGTTCTTTTGCTGCCAACATTCACGGTTCAAAAAAATAGCTGAATATGGTATCTGTATGATGGTAACTAAGCGGCAAATCACCCCTCCGTCTCTGAAATAGCGAGCGGTAATGAAAAGGGGAAGTGGGAAGTTATTTCTGTATTTTCGTCTTTTCGGAATGGCATGGCCAAAATAATAGCCAGCTTCTTCTTCGACAAAGCAAAAAATATTTTATTTCTGAACTTCAGAATCTGTTTTTAAATAATAATAAGTGAATGATGATGATCTACCCTTTTTCTTCTTCCAGAAGGAGGCAATCTTACATGACTGAAGGATATTTAACACGGGAGCGAGGAAATCTGGGGGTTACCTCCCACTTCGCCACTAACTAGCTATGTCTGGTGGTCAATTTCTTGGGGTTTCCATTCCACACCTATAAAATGAAGTGCTTAACTAAGGTACCGGGGAAACCAAAAATATCACAATTCTAAGATTGCCTGTACTTGTTTGCAATTCATTTCCCATTCTCTTAACCTTTAGGCCTCTCACTTCATTAAAAGTGCTCTTGAGAAAGACACACAATAACGTCCCCATTGCTAGATACAATAATCCATGCTCAGTCCTTGTCACCTGACATGTCTCTATTCTCTTTCCACCTGTAAAGCTGTAAATTCTATTTTCATTATAGCAGCCCGGATGATCTTTCTCCTCCTCCTTCCTCTTTCTTTTCTTCTTCCTGTACCTCTTTCACAATTTCTAACATTTTTTTTCCCCTAAACTTTTTGTATTATTTTCAACCAGCACTCCATAGATAGGGCCTTTCCCACTGAGGGAATCTGAGTCAGGTCAAATGGAGATGAATCCTTTCAAATGAGCATTTGCAGAGGGCTATCAGGTAAGTCAAAGATAACAATTCTGTAGTGATAGGGATTTCAGTGCAGCTCCACAGCAATTCTGTCCCTCCAGGGGCTGCTAGACCCTGGTTTTCACAGCTTTCACGGCTGCAAGGCTAATAATTTTCAAGGCTTCCATGCAGCTGGGAAGAAGGATACAAGGCATATCCATACGCACACCATTATCATCCTGTTCATACCAGGATTCACTCAACCATTTTTCTTGAATAAATGCTCCTTGACCGTTAACAGGATTTTGGTTCATTTGAAGAGCTCAGAAAAATGTTGATCTGGGCCATTTTGGACTATTGTTGGTGCTTTTATGGAGCAAAGGATTTTCAGAGGTTCTTAATTTGCCTTTTGGAAGTGCTTCCCTACAACTAATTTTTAGGGAGTTGGTCCCCCCAAACCTGATTTTAGCTCAGGTTTTCCAGATTGCTGAAATGCTGCAGAGAACGCCAAGCAGGAAAAAAATAACAAAAGAAGCACACCTTGGTGCATCCTATTCAAGCAAGTGAAACATCAAAGATAAAGTCCTAAATGAAGCCAGAGAGAAAAAAAGAAACTTTACAAAAAGTAACATTTTTCATCAGAAACTACGGTTGACCCGTAAACAACATGGAGTAGGGGTGCCCACTCCCCCCAACATACAGTCACTGATCCACAGACAACTTCCGACTCCCCAAAAGCTTAACTACCAAAAGCCAAATGACTGAAAGCCTCAGTGATAACATAAACAGTGGATTAACACATATTTTGTATGTTACAGGTGTTATATACTGTATTCTTTTTTTTTATTTTTTTTAATGTTTATTTATTTTTGAAGGAGAGAGAGAGAGACAGAGTGTGAGCAGGGGAGGGGCAGAGAGAGAGAGAGACACAGAATCGGAAGCAGGCCCCAGGCTCACGGCCGTCAGCACAGAGCCCGACGCGGGGCTCGAACTCACAAACCGCGAGATCATGACCTGAGCCGAAGTCGTACGCTTAAATGACTGAGCCACCCAGGAGCCCCTATATACTGTATTCTTATAATAAAATAAGAGGGAAGAAAATGTTATTAAGAAAATCATAAGGGAGAGAAAATACATTTGTAGTACTTTGCATGTAAGTATTCACAGCTCAAACCCACATGGTTTAAGGGGCAGCTATATACTAGCCAGAAGATGACCCTGACCACATCTTTAAGGCAGGAAAAAAATCAAAAAGGTCATCTTTGCATTCTAGTTCCAGTGAAAATACTTGAAACACAAAGGTTAAATAAAAATGCCATCGAATATGCCATCACTTACGAATTTTTTCATAGCCTTTTTTTAACAAAGTAAGTTCTTTATTTTTAGATACATTCACCAAATAGTTGTAAAACAAAATACAGAGAAATCCTATGTACCCTTTAGCAAATTTCTCCGAATGGTAACATTCTGCCAAACTCTACTACCAGTGAGATACAGACATGATATAGTCAACATTTAAAAAGCTACATTTCCAAAAGGATTCCTTATAATTCTATTCATAGCCACAGCCACCTCCTCCCACCATCCCTAACTCCGACAACAATTTATTCTCCATTTCTATCATTTTGTCATTGCAAGAATGTTACATCAATGGAATCAAAACACCTTTCAAGAGGGACTCTTTAAACTGAGCACAGGGGTGCCTGGGTGGCGCAGTCGGTTAAGCGTCCGACTTCAGCCAGGTCACGATCTCGCAGTCTGTGAGTTCGAGCCCCGCGTCAGGCTCTGGGCTGATGGCTCAGAGCCTGGAGCCTGTTTCCGTTTCTGTGTCTCCCTCTCTCTCTGCCCCTCCCCCATTCATGCTCTGTCTCTCTCTGTCCCAAAAATAAAAAAAACAAAACAAAACAAAAAAAAACATTAAACTGAGCACAATTACCTCAAAATTCATCCAAGTTGTTTCATATCAATAGCTTTTTCTTTTTCTTTTTTTTTTTTTTAATTACCGGGTAACATTTCATGCTATAGATGCATCATAGTTAATTTAACCAATCATCTGTTGAAAGACATCTGGGCTGTTTTCAGTAGGGGCTATTTTGAATAAAGCTGTTAAGAGTATTTGTCTACAGGTTTTGGTGAGAGCACAGATTTCACTTCTCTGTGACAAATGCCCAAGAGAATGGCTGCTGCTGCATTGTATGGGAGTTCCAAGTATACTATTACAGGGAACATCAAACTGTTTTTCAGATGGATTACAATTTTACATTTCCATTAACATTGTACGACTGACCTAGTTTCTCTAAATTTTACCAACATTTAGGGTTGCCATTATATTTTATTTTTGCCATTGTCCTATTCTATTTGGTCAAGTGGAGGGATGAGCTGGGTCAGTAGGTTAAGGGTTGGGATCTCCAGGATCTTCTTTTGTTGGGTGGGGAATGGGAGGTCATGAAACACCTTGCCATTATGCATTTCCTCCAGTTCTGGAGTCTTTAATCAGTTCTCCCTCCTCTTGTCTATATGAGTTTCCTACTGAGGCTGTAACAAACTACTGGAAATATGGTGGACTACAGTAACACAAATCTATTTTCCTGTAGTTCTGCAGGTCAGACACCCAAAACTGTGTTTCATTTGGCTAAAATCCAAGTGCAGGCTGGGCTGGTTCCTTGTGGAAGCTCTCGGGGAGACTGCCTTTTCCAGTTTCCAGGGGCTGCCTGTATTCCTTGGCTTGTGGCCCCTTTCTCCATATTCAAAGCCAGTAGCACAGTATCTTCAAACTCTCTCTGCTTCCATCATGAGATAGCCGTCCTTTCCTAACTCTGACCCTCAGGCCTTACTCTTAGGAGGATCCTTGTAAGGGACCCTTCTAGATAATCCAGGACAATCTCCTCATCTCCGAATCTGTCATTTAATCCCATCTGTAAAATCCCTTTTGCCATGCAAGGTAACATTTGGATCCCAAGCATTAGGATGTAGACATCTTTGGGGGACATAATTCAGCCTACCATACTACTTTTCAGAGTTGTCTGGTTGTCTCTCATGTTCTTTCTAGGGTATGTTATTGATTTAGCGGGAAGGGAGGAGAAAGAGACAAGTGTTATTGGCTCAAGGTTTGTGTCTCTCTTAAATTCATATGCTGACATCCTAACCCCCAATTTG